CTTTCTCCAATCCCGTCCCATCAGTGCGGCGCATGGCTGGAGCCGGTGGGCTGGAGCAGCACGCCTTTGACTTACAACTTCCCAGAAACAGTCCGCCAGGAAGACGTTGGAGCAGGCCTAAGGGAGGAGATTATCATTTTGGTAGGACCCATTGCCAACGTGTCATCTCCTGGTTGGACGCGGTAAAACTGGACTCAACAATTGCTCCCAACTTCTCGACTGATTGGAAATGAATCTGGGAGTTGATCCTTTCTGTGTCCCTGCAATATAGTAGAGCTTTCGTCTGATACTCAAAGGTTTTGGCAGTTTCGACACCGCACTAGAACAGTTAAACTCTGAATTGCCACGCATCCCAGAAGAATACAGGTCTAATAGGAGCGAAATAGGGTTTTCAAAAAAATAATTTAAATGACTCACCTCGACCTTGCCACACATTCCAGAGGAGTACGGATTTAGTTGGAGTGAAACAATTAGGTTTCTATAGAAACAATTAGATGGGTCCTACCTCGGTTTGGGCGTGCAGCTCGAGAGAGTACACGCTTGTCCAAAATAGGAGGAAGTTATGTTCCTGGAAGAACAGTTGGTCGCCCACAGATGAGCATCTCCCCGGAGGGATTTTACTCCTTACTTCGCGAGGAACTAGATAAGGAGTCGTCTTCCTTCACCATTAGATTTTATGAGGAAGTTAGAGCATTATGTGATCATGGAGATCAACATAAGACAACAATGTAGTTTAAAACACCTACCCAATAACCACATATGGTGCCTTGAGGGGGTGAAAAGATATGTGTGGGTCGCTAACATGAGGGGGAGCCATTGCTTTTTTACAGCTTGTGGGAGCCAGCTAGTGGCCAAACATGTCGTTTCCTGAAGGCGTTATCCTGACTCCCTTACTACCGGAACAGTCTTTGCGTTGTGCTTATGTGGAAAGTTTCATGGTTTTTGAATTATGCTTGGACATACACCGGAGGGAGAGGTTGGGAAAATTTCAAGAAGAGAAAGCCCCCCATAAGGGGCGACCTCAATTCCCGGTGGTGCTTCGGAAGGCAAGCGCATCCCCAAAAGAAGCACACTAATGGGTTGCATTGTCCTAGAGGGAGCTGGCGAGGAGGATCCGGATATCATAAAACTGGATTTTCAAATTTTCAAAGGAATGGTGCCTCGAAAGGCAAGTGCGTCTCTGAAGGGAGCAGACTAAAGAATTGCACATTCCTTAGAGGGAGCTGGCAAAAAGACCTGGAGGTATGTAGGACCGGAGTCCAGAATTATTCACGGAGGAATGGTGCCTCGAAAGGCGAGCAAGTTCACGGAGGAGCATGCTGTCTGAAATTCCGACTGAGGTTCTTTGTGAAAATTCAGATCACAAGCAAGAAGCCCCTGGAGGTTAAGGTAATGCAAACGAGGATGGGGCAATGGAAACGAAGCTGTAATAAATAAACAGGGAAGGTGAAGCTGAGAGCCGCAGACACTCAGATAATCAAGCAATCGAATAAATGTGCAAGCAAAGGATCGAGCAAGCAAAGAATCACACAATCAGGAAATCAACCAAACAGGAAGTCACTCAAACAGAGAATCAGAAAGTCACGCAAGAAAAGAATGATTCAAACAAAAAGTCATTCTGGCAGCCAATCACACAATCATATAAGCATGAAAACAGGTGAGCGCATGCGCCTTATTAAAACGATTAAGGAGCCCGCGCGCATAAATAAACAACAACCAGCAGGCTTGTACAATTTGCCCCCTTAGGTAAGGGCTGCCCTGGAGAAATATCTGTCTTCTGTAAGGTTCCAAAACTCACACTGTTCGTCATGACTTACCGTTGCAGGGGCAGGGGGTTACTCGCCTACTCTCCGGGGGTTTAGGCTGATTTTGTGCTACTTCTCTGGGTCGGGAGTTGTAGTCTTTCCGGGCGGGGTGATTTTATTTCGTTGGTGGGTGCTAGACACATTGCTAATTTTTGTTTGCTTGTCGCATGGAAAGTTGCACTGCACTATTCTCCATGCTTCCCGCAAACTAGCACCTCCTATCGTCATCATTAGGAATTATCCGCCTCCTTTGTCATAATGACACGCCTCTTTGAGTGCACGACTTGAGGGTTGGCCCCTTACCAAAATAGCCCCTTGATTTCTTTTGTTATTTCCAAATGGTTGCGACCATTCTCGCGCGTCACTTCGGTTTTCCTTATTCTTGTAAAGTACTTGGGACCAGTCGACATTACCACTTGCTTTCTTCTCTGATTTTGCTTCGATCTCCATTTGTATTCCTCCCACCTTTGTCCGAATTTAGTTTCTTTCGCCAATTCAAAACGATGTTGTCCTTGTCAACAAACTCGTCCGCGGATATTTGGCACACCCCCTTTTCATGGTCTGGGGGTAGCGTTGAGAACATTGTCCGTACTTCCAAAGTGGTCGAAAATCAGGACCGGCCTCCTTTGATGTGTACCTCGGCTGTCTTGGAGAGGGTCACTTGGGAGGTCGACCCTCCATGCATCCCTCTTATTCCATGTTTTCCCGTTGGAGGGGATCGGGCAGATCATTCTCCTCCCCATTGCATCGCCACTCATAACGACTATATCCTCTACAGATTTAGAGGCTAACTTCCTCGTGTGCTTGTTGACTTCTGCCATTTCTCCAGCATTTTTCCTAGCCAGCTGCATCCATCGTCTAATCCAATGGTTAATATTGCAGTTAGATATCATCTTTAGTCTCTAATTGAGGTAGAAACTCTCTTTGGCTGCCGAATGAAGCTTTGCATTGTTACATAAAAGGAAAATTTTAAATTGGACAAGTTTTGTGCTACCAGTTTAAAAGTTGACTATGATTTTGAAACATTATAGAATCAAACTTAGTTTGCCGTGTCAATGATAGATTAATATTATGAAGCAATTCAGGTTTTGGCTTGACTACTTCTGGTTGGGTGGAAAGTGGCTTGTAAGTGTGGTTGTTCGACTAACTTCAGTTTTGGTCCAAGCCTAGAGCATTGGCCTGACGCAATTTCTTCATTGAGCCTAGTTGTTCGGTGAATTTTTAGTCTTTATTCATGGTTCGAGCTTGGTGGCCCTCCCTCACCTCCTTGGACTCCATTATTTTATAGCATGCATATGCACCAAAGTATGGTCTATGTATGTGTAACGCCCCCGACCGCCCCTACAGGCGAGTCACCCATCCCCCGTCGGGCTCGTGGGCCCTGCTCCTATCTGACGGCCGGTGCATTATTTTTCCCGGAGCCCAACCGACTTATTTACTAACCATGCAATCACCACATGATCTTTTCCGTGTTTTGGTCTCACTCACACGGTTTCGGGAATCACTTCCTGAAAGGTCACCCATCCTAGTCGTGCTCCACCTCAAGCACGCTTAACTCTGGAGTTCTCTCAGGCCCACTAACCGAAAAGATAAGTGCACTTTGGTGACATAGGTAGCCAAATCAATCTATTTAAATTTATTCAAATTGGCCGGGTCCAGGTCGTTATAATTTTCTCCCACTAAACAGGAATTCGTCCCCGAATTCTGATCCCGATAGTGTGAGTCTTAGCCCCCAAAACTCAAGACAGTCTCCTGGGACAGAACCAGTTTGACTTCCCGGGCTCTGATACCACTTGTAACGCCCCCGACCGCCCTTACCGGCGAGTCACCCATCTCTCCGTCGGGCTCGTGGGCCCCGTCCCTATCCGACGGCCGATGCGCTATTTTTTTCAGAGGCCAACCGACTTATGTACTGACCCTGCAATCACGACATGATGTTTCTCCGTGTTTTGGCCTCATTCATACTGTTTTGGAAATCACTTCCCAAAAGGTCACCCATCCTAGTCGTGCTCCAGCTCAAGCACTAACTCTGGAGTTCTCTCAGGCACATTAACCAAAAATATAAGTGCACTTTAATGACATAGATAGCCAAATCAATCCATTTAAATTTCTTCAAATGAGTCGGGTTCATATCGTTACAGTATGGTCTATGGTGATTCAGATGCTATCATTCTTGCTTGTTTAAATGGTTCGAACTTGCTTGTTCTTACTGTTTTTATTTAATCTTTACTTGTTATGTATTTAACTTGCTTTTGTAAGCAATTACACTGTCAAGAAAGTTGTTGATAATTATGTAATTTAAGGGAAACTAAACATTGGATTTGGGGAGTAACTAGAGTAGAAAGTCTTTTAAAGTTCCTCATGGTATAACGAATGTCTATTACTTGTTTCTAATTTCGTTGAAAAAATCATAACTCTATCCAACAATAGATCAACTGCGAGTGGATGATATATGCATCTATAAATATTCGTTCTAATGAGAATTTGTGGTAAAAAATAAGAGAACCTACATTAGTTATTCACGGAAGGGGAAATAAATTTTTTGAGGGCTTCTTCAATGATTTTAGGGTAGAATCATTGAAGGATCATTTACTCAGGCTATGTTGAAAGCAGAACGAATAAGAAATTTGAATTTTAAATGTCAAAGAGCTTGTGAATGCTGGTGTCATTTACTTGAAAATGAGCATGTACAACAGTTTTTTTTTTGAATGTTTGACTATGTGCTTAAGCTCTAAAGGGAAAAGGTCTAATCAGGGAGATCTAAGATCGTACTTTAAAAAAAAAATCATGTTTTTAAGGAATTCTATGCATTATTATGCTAAAAATTGGTTGGAAGAAAATACATTTCAAACTTCAAAGGGATCATTGTATTACTCGTAATAATGTAATATATCTACTTGTTCTTTTCTTTCACAATTGTCAGTTGTGATGGAGAGGCGGAAGTGAATTTAACAAGTAATGAAATCTGAAAGAAATCAAACAAACGAATATCATCTAAGATAATAGGGGCGAGAGTACTCCTCTCATTGTTGTTAAAACGCAAGCTCTTATGGGAAACTATTAGAATTTCCTCTTATTAGGTTTATCAAAATCAAGACAGACTCAAAACAGCGACTCTTGATTCCTTACATAGCTTCTAACATAAGCCCAAAGCCATTAGGAAACCTTTATTTTAGAATGAAATTTAGAAAACCGACTCGACTGACACTTGGAGAACACGCCAAACACCAACGATGTGTTCTCCTGACTGGATAAGGATGCGCTGCATCAGAAACCAAATCCTAAAAACGCATAGACTGGTACATTACAGACAAGACTAAAGTAGTATTATTGATCACTAAACAAAGATGGTGAAACCCTAATCGAATAAATCTGCAAAGCAGTTCACTCGGAATGGTAGTAGTGCTTATCAACAGGAACAGAGACATCCCAAGTGCAACTGTATCCTTTAGGGAAAACAACTAAGTCACCTTCTTCGATCTCTACACTTTCATCAGATCCATCAGGAGTCACTTTCACTTTCCCCGCAACTAGATAACATGTCTCCTTTTTAGTGAAAGTCCATGGGAACTTGGCTACAGGAACAAGTTTCCACCTGTGCCATCATCAATTTATCCCAGAAAAAATAAAACTTTGGAACACACAAAAGCTATAGGCTTTCTTCATCAGTCAAGAGAAAGGCTATCTTAGTTATACAATCTTTCTTTTTCAACAGAAAAAACAAGAAAGAATATTGATGAAGAAGGCGAAGGGCGTACTTGGGCCAATTACGAACACCGAGTTCGGTGAGTTTGGACTCGGGTGGATTCTTCTCGATTGTGATCCCTAATTTCTCAGTAGCCATAGTTGTTTGGTTGGTTTTGTGAGCACCGGCCGATAAGGATTTGATGCTTGAAAATACAATAATTGTAATAGTTCTCTGCTTTCAATTGCCACATAATATACTCTATTATGAGCTTCTTATAGATAAGATGAAACAAGTTTTTATTATTATTTTTATGGTATAACATGATCCATTCATGTCTTATCTCTTCAGCCTGTTACAGTTTTAATTTTACTGTTCATTTTTTTTGTCACGAGAAATTTTATTAAGTAAGAAGAGGATTCAAATATGAAAGTTAAACTTCATAATAATATCTATCTATAATAACAAACTGAAAAAATATCAAATGCACTTTGAAAAATTGTGTCTTTTCGAAATTTATGGTTGTGTCTTTTCATTACAAATAGTTGCATCTTTTCACTATGAATGGTTCCATTTTTTCATCAACTATAATTTGTGTCTTTTTAAAATTATTTATACTGCTCAAAATCATAGAAAAAATCATTTAGATCTAACTTTTATTTTCTTACTATTGTGAGTTTTTGTTGTCGTAAACTTATTTATATATCATAACATATTATTAGGATACAAAGTGTTAAAAGTCCAGAAAGTTCAGATATTGAATTGAGTAAAAGATTTTATTTGGGGGTCCAATTTTAACTAAATATGAGCAATTTCATTACAAGATTGTTTTACATGCATTACATCAGAAAAATAAAATTTATTCCACCAAAATCTAATGATATTTTTATTATAAAGAAATTATATGTGTTTTGTTTACTAATATATATTATGTTATTTAATTTTTGCTTAACCATCCGAATAAATGCTTTTACACTTTAAAAAATTGTGTCGTTTCAAATTTTGTGGTTGCGTTTTTTCATTATAAATGGTTGCATCTTTTTATTATAAATGGTTGTGTTTCTTCATCACAACTGTTATTTGTGTCTTTTCAAAACTATTTATATTGCTCAAAACCACAGAATAAAAATCATTTGGGTCTAACTTTTACTTTTTTTTACTATGGTGGGTTTTTTTTGTCGCAAAGAATCCGAATAAATGCCACTTACACTTAAAAGTTGTGTCGTTTCAAAATTTGTGGCTGTATATTTTCATTATAAATAGTTTCGTTTTTTTATCACAATTGTAATTTGTGTTTTTTTTTAAATTATTTATTGTTCAAAATCACAGAAAAAATTATTTGGATCTAACTTTTACTTTCTTACTATACTGGGTTTTTTTGTCGTAAACTTATTTATTTATCATAACATATTATCATGATATTTTAAAATTCATAGAGGTTCGGATATTGAATTTGAGTAAAAAAATTCCATTTGAGAGTCCAATTTTGGCTAAAATATGATAAGTTTTATTACAAGAATGTTTTACATGCATTACATCAGAAAAATAAAATTTATTCAACCAAAATCTATTGATATTTTTATTATCAAGAAATTATGTGTTTTGTTTACTAATATATATTATGTTATTAATTTTTTTTGTTAACAATCCGAATAAATCCCATTTACACTTTAAAAAGTTGTGTCGTTTCAAAATTTGTGGTTGCATCTTTTCATTATAAATGGTTGCATTTTTTTGTCACAACTCTTATTTGTATCTTTTTTAAACTATTTATATTGCTCAAAACCACAAAAAATCATTTGGGTCTAACTTTTACTTTCTTACTATGGTGAATTTTATTTTTTCGTAAACATATTTATTTATCATAACATGTTATCATGATAAAAAAAAATGTTTAAAAGTCCTGGAGGTTCAGATATTGAATCATAGTAAAAGATTCCATTTGGGGGTTTAGTTTTGGCTAAAATATAAGCAGTTTCATTACAAAATTGTTTTATATGCATTATATCAGAAAAATAAATTTTATTCAAACAAAATCTAATGATATTTTTATTATAAAATATTATATATTTTTTGTTTACTAATATATATTATGTTATTTTTTTATGAAAAATATCTATATATTTATAGTTAATTGTGTTATTTTCAAATTTTAATATTCTTTGTTAGTTGTTTATAAATTTAATGTACCTGATATTTGAATTCTTTTTTCTAATTTGAGAGAAATATATTTATGTAATGTAACGAATTCACATATATTTTATATATGCTAAGCTGTACAAACTATTAAATTCTGACTAATCATAAACTAGCTAGCAGCCACAAACTAACATATTTTTATCATAATTAGTTTGTACATTTCCATTTCCATAATAGTTAAAACTTTGATACACAAAGATTCGCAAGGTATCAAAGTTTTTATATTTTAACTATTATATTTGTAATATACTTTTTAATATTGCGAATCTTTTTTAGAAACTATAGTAGTCTTAGAAAATGTATTATAAAATCTCGTTACATTGTTTTTTATTACATATATTTCCTGTAGTATTTTTTTTAAAAAATATCATTTTTTTATCATAAATTTTTGTTTCTAACTTTTCAATAATAAATGTATAGTTTTATACATTTTTTTTGAAAGATTGCCTGTATTTATTTTTTACTTTACACTTTTACGCGAATAAAATTTTTTAATAATTATACAAGTAGAAGATCTCATATTTATATTATATATTTATATTGTATTTTTTCATTTATAACTTTTTTTAACACTCTTAAAAAGTTGTGTATCTTGTTATTTTTCAGTTTTTTATTTTTTCTATTAATAATTAATAATAACAATCCTAGAAAATTTTGTAAAAATTTACATATTTTATCATAATTAGTTTGTACATTTTCATTTAGAACTTATTGTTAATAATTAAAAAAACATAAATATATCTTTTTCTTTTAATAATTATAAGTTGTTTTGAATGTTTATATTTTTTATTATATATATTTTACTTATAATTATTTTAAATAAATTTTTGTTTAATTTTTAATAAACCGCAGATTAATCCTGCAAAGCAGGGGTTCTATTCCTAATCATGATAAATAACAATCCTAGGAAATATATGGCAATATCACATCTCTTTATCATAACTCTTCATTCAACATAATTTCACTTATAACTGCTTTTGTATTTTTATATGATATTTTAAAAGATCCGTTTTTTTTTTCTTTCATCATAAAACGTTATTAAAAAAAATCATAAAATAACTAATGCGTTATCATGAGGATTACTCTTCAATTTGTAAATTTTCTCTTATAATTAGTTTCAACAGTTTTATAAAAATATTTTGGAAATCATGTTTTTTTTTTGTCAAGGGAAATCATGTTTAACACATGTTCCCTAGCTAGTCTGCAGTCTCTCAGACTAAGACAACGATACCGACTTACGTTATAAAATCATAAAATAATTAGTGCGTTTTCATGAGGATAGCTCTTCAATTTGTAAATTTTCTCTTACAATTATTTTCAACAGTTTTATAAAAATATTTTGGAAATCATGTTTAACACATGTTCCCTAGTCTCTCAGACTAAGACAACGATACCGACTTACTCACCTATTGCCCGTAGCCAAGAAAGCATTTCATTTCCTTGGTCTCACTCACTTCCAAGTGTCTCCGTCTCTCACATCCATCCAAAAAATACTACGAACCAACTCCATAACTTTACTTACATCTAAGAGCAATAATTTTAATATTATTTAATTATATTTTTTGTTTTAAATTATAAAAAAAATTAACCAATAATATAGAGAGAACACATGAAATAGCCTTCCATAATCTCTCAAATGAGAGACTCTCCATTCTCTCTCTTCTTCTTTTTCAGTTTTATTAATTTTTAAATATGAAAGACCTCCACTGCAGATGGTCTAAGAAAAGAAGAAGATATCTAACAAAAAAAAAATAATGATATCAAGTACTTTTTTTTGGAAATATCACTAAATAGAATACGCTCAGTGATAAATTAAGTAATTGATATATACTATTTCTAAATTTAAATATTAAATTAGTTTGACATTTGTTGATAATCTTTATGTACTCGTCGATTTAATTTCAGAAAAATCTAAACATTATATCTAATATCTCTTAATTTTTGTTTATCCAAAATTATTAATAGATGTCTATTCAATGTTAATAATTAAAGAGTTTGACACAGATATATTGTCTTTTTCTGTTATTAATTCGTCTTCCCAATTTATTTTTGCGACACCATTTTCATCTTCCACCAACACTGCTTTCATCTTCTCTCTGCCAGCAATTTTTTGACTCTTGTTCCCAACAATTTCTTGATTATATATGTAGTCTCTCTCTTGACCTTCGTTTCCAAATCTATTGACTTTCCTCTTCAGATTTCAACAGTTTAACAGATCTGGTGAGATTCCGAAAGTACTATGGTTAAAGGTAAAGAATCTTGCCCAACTCAATCTCTTATCAAACGAATTCTTTGATTTGATGCTTAGGTTTTTTGGAGATCTCGGATCCATCTTCGGTACTCTCAACAATTCAAACAAAATCATATATCTCCAAACCAGATCTTCACATGCGTATATGCACATCCGCTCCGATTTCTAGTCATCAATTACTCTATGTAGACTCCAATGGTTAACTAGATAAGCTTTGGGATCTCGACTCTTCCGGACTGGTAACTTCATTATAAACCCGGGTAGCCCTGTATCTTATCTATAAATCTCCAACAATGTAATCAGATACCCGAATATATGGATGTCTAAGTTTGAGCGTGTGACCTTATAAATCAGTATGCAGGTGTTCGTTTGTAGGTGGCAGTGACTTTAATAATCGAAGGCGAATTCGATGGAACCCCCCAAAGTGCATTTGCATGGGCCGATGAAGTAGATGACCCCACTGTAAATCACATGGAGATGCTATCTTCACCTTGCAGTCTTGTTTGTTCCTATTTATGGCATGAACAATTATCTTCACCTTGCAGTCTTGTTTGTTCTTGAACACACGCCCCAAATACAGCTCATCTCCCTGATATGCCACATCTAATATGACATTCTCTGTTTGATCCAATCCTGAGTAAACCCGTCCATCAAATACATTAGATGTCTTTAACGTTTTTTACTCTTCAATGTAGTGTTCTTTTAGCAGCCATATAGATAATCGTCCATCATATTTAATAACACTCCACTAATAT